AACTCTACAGGGTGCCAAACTTTTGCAGACGCCATTTTTTTTGTTTTCTGTTATTTTGAAAATGTAAATGATGGAAATAAAATCTAACTTTTGTTGACATATTATAAGAATGTCTAATCTGTAATTTGATGCCTTTTGGAGATTTTTTTCCATCTTTCCTTGGCTTCTTTATGCACATTAATACAAAATTTTAGCTGGGGTGCCCAAACTTTCGATCCCCACTGTATATACACAGTTGTGTTCAAAATAATAGCAGTGTGTTGAAAAAAGTGAATTAAGCTCAAAATCCTTCTAATAGCTTTTATTTCCATACACACACAAATGCATTGGGAACACTACACATTCTATTCCAAATCAAAACATGAAGAAAAATATATCAAATTTGTGTTGTTCCTCTAAACAAATTGAAGAAAAGTGAATATTAGACTGTTCAAAAAAATAGCAGTGTTTGTATTCTTCTTTACAAACTCAAACATTCACTATACAAACTAAAAAATGTTTGAAGATTTTGCTTTCCTTTGAATCACTTAATATTTAGTTGTATAAGCACTGTTTCTGAGAACTGCTGTACATCTGTGTTGCATGGAGTCAACCAACTTCTGGCACCTGTGAACAGGTATTCCAGCCCAGGATGATTGGACTACATTCCACAGTTCTTCTCTAGTTCTTGGTTTTGCCTCAGAAACTGCATTTTTGATGTCACCCCACAAGTTTTCTATTGGATTAAGATCCGGGGATTGGGCTGGCCACTCCATAACGTCAATCTTGTTGGTCTTGTTTTTCGCTTTCTTCCACGTCTTTCAGGTTTTGGTTGCCATTTTAAAGCATTTGCGATCATTTTAGCTGAGCAGCCTATCATTTTCTGCACTTCTTTATATATTTTCCCCTTTCCAATCAACTTTTTAATCAAGGTACGCTGTTCTTCTGAACAATGTCTGGAACGACCCATTTTCCTCAGAATTTCAGAGAGAAATGCACTGTAACTAGCATGTACAACATTTGCTGCCTTCCTTCCTTTAATAAGGGCAATAATTGCCACCTGTTTTTCAAAGAATGAATGACCTCACTAATAGAACTCCACACTGGTATTATTTTGAACATGCCCCTTTCAATTAGTGATTCAATTACACAGAATCAGCAGCATGCATGTCATGACTGTTGGGTCTGTTGGATTTCTATTACTCTACTACACCTGCTAGTAAATTATTTGCCATGTAGAAATATAATTTCTACCAAAAACAGTGATTGATCAGGTTAGTGATGTCTGACTGCTATTATTTTGAACACAACTGTATGTGTGTGTGTGATTTTTTGATTTCAAGGTAGGGGGCGCGCGCGCGTCGCCCTACCCGAACCACCATTGGTGGCTACAGCTGTTGATCACCAGGTCCTGGCCGGAGATTCCCCACTGACACCTAGCGATCACCGAGGAACACTGACGGGAGTGGTCTGCATGTAAACAATACAGATCTCTCCCCTGTCAACTCCAGCATGTTGCTTTGTATTGTTTTGCATAGCAGAGCAATACAAAGCAGCATGCTTACATGGTAAAACACACACAGGCCACATAGTAAAACAGCACAAAGTTAATCCTTTGATCACCCTAGATGTTACCCCTTCCTGCCCAGTGTCATTAGTACAGTGTCAGTGCTTTTTATTAGCAGTGATCACTCTATTAGTGTCACTGGAGATGTCAATGGCAGTTAGTTAGTTCCCCCCCAGTATCAGAATGCCTGCCGCAGTCCTGCTTTAAGTCGTTGATCACCGCCATTACTAGTATAAAAACATTTTTTTTTTAATTTACAGTATATATACACCGCCATTTGTAGAAGCTATAATTTTCACGTAAACCAATTAATTTACATGTACTGGGATTTTTTTTTATAGTAAAGACATGTAGCAGAAAACATTTTGGCCTAAATTTATAACGAAATTAGATCTTTTAAATTTTTTACTGGATATGTTTTATAGCCAAAAGTCAAAAAAAATGTTTCTTTTTTTTTCAAAATTGTTTTTCAAATAGTTTTTGGTTATAGCACTAAAAAATAAAAAACTCACAGGTGATCAAATACCACCGAAAGAAAGCTCCATTTGTGGGGGAAAAAGGATATAAATTTAATTTATGTACAGCATTGCATGACAGTGCAATTATCAGTTAAAGTAACACAGCGCCGTATCGCATAAAATGGCCTGGTCAGGAAGGGGGGTAAATCCTCTGGAGGTTGGTTAACTCACATGGGGCATTTAGAGAGCTTTGTACAGGAATGCATGCTGAAGATGTCTAGGAGAACTGTTTCTGTGTTACCTTCAAATACTTCAGTAAAGAGCTTTGTTGTTCAATTCAACTGACTGTTCTGAAGTCCTTAAATTGTTGCTGGACCCATGACCCTGCAGAACATGGAAATGCAATTATTTTAGTAAATCTAAGCTGCTAAATACCTTTTCTCATCAGCAGTTAGAGTAGTCTTGTGACTTCTATCAGTGTCCAGCAGAGCACTGGGTAAAGCTTGTAGGAGGAGTTTTCATTCTCCTCTCACTGTCCTGTGAGACTGCAGGACCCCTGACCCTCTATCTGAGAAGTGCTGATTGGCCCTGTGTTGATCACATGCACTCTCCCAACAAAAACAAAATAGCAAAACAACACCAAACTGAGCATGTGCAGCTTGCCCCCAAGGCTCTGTTCTATTAGTAGATGAGTCGGGGACAGTGGAAGAAGGGGAGGATCAGAGAATATAGGATTAAACATCCTTTTTGCACAATGCAGAGAGTTAAATGAGTGTAACAGGCATACTTTACTGCATATACAGACTGATTTTACTGTTGTGGGTTTAGTAACACTTTAAAGGGTTGCATGTAAGGCGAATTAAAAGAACACGGCTTACAACAGGGGTCTGGGAAGGTTAGAGAAGATAGAGTACAGAGTTCTAATGAGCAGAATGCTGTCCAAAGGAAGCTAGATTGCCATTGCTAATGACTGCTGTATTTGTATCATTCGCTAAACAAGCTAACCAGCCAGGAAATGGGTAACATGGCGGTGGAGGTGGTGGATGTGGCTGTGGTGAAGGGTGTTTGTGCTTGCCACATTTACTAGCGGTCGGTTCACCACATACTGGAACCAACACCGCACCACAGTACCTAGGGACCTAGCCTGGATTCACGGAGAGAGAGATGTAGAGGAGGCTCTGGGAAGGAGAACAAGCATGAGTTAAGGAGAAGTGCGTTTCCTGCGTCCAATGGCAGCATACAGGGCATTGTCACTGGGAGCGAGGTGATGGGACTGCTGAGTTAGTTGAGACCGGTGCACACTTCATGATACCAGCTTACAAATGCTGCACACCTAGAAGGGGAGATGTTCAGAGATGTTCTCTCCAGGAGTTCTTAGTGTCAGCAGTGTAAGCAGTAAAGCCACGGATTATAAGGAGTTAACTGTGCAAGTGTACTGCTTGCTTCTAAGTCTGAAGTCCTTGCTCAATATTTATTTCACAGTTCCTGCTGCTGTTAATCAAATCCTGTGATGAGGGAGCAAGGGCAGGGTCGAGCTACACTCTCTGTGTCTATGGACGCAGGCAGCGTGGCTCAGCATCAAGCTTGCAGGTGTGCCACAATAGGAAGCGGCTTCCTATGCGTGTCACATTGAGAAGAGCAGCCAGGACCGCAGACGGGGGACCCAAGAAGAGGAGGTTCGGGGCCGGTAAGTGTGACTTGTTTGTTATATTAAAAAAAATTCTTTAAATCACTAAAGTAGTTGTAAAACTTTAGGGTTTAAGTAAGAAACCTTCTGTGCTGCATGTGTTTTTTTTTTTTTTTTTAAAACCTCTTACCCTAGGTTCACATCTGTGCGGGTAGTGCTGCTGCGGATCCGCATGAAAATCTGTGCAGCCGCACCACTTGCACAGAGAAATGTTCTAATGGCAGTTCTAATGGCACGCCGCCCGCACTGGAAAACGCAACCATACTGGAAACCGAGGTTCCCGTGCGGGCTGCATTTCCCAAAGAAGTGCACGGACTTCTTCCCTGCATGTCATGGGAGTCCATTCAAATAAATGGGCTCTCGTGCCCGTGCAAAACGCGTCCCGCACGGCCGCATCTATGGGAACTGGGGGTTATACTTACCTGAGCCCATCGTGATCCAGCAATGTGCATGAGAGCTGCTGCTCTCTCATCTCTGTCCCACCTCACTGCACAGACTGATAGCAGCAAGAGCCATTGGGTCCTGATGCTGTCAATCAAATTCTGTGATGAGGGGGCGGGGCTGGGCCAGGGCCAAGCTGCCTTGTCTGTGTCGAAGGACACAGACAAGGCAACTCAGGATCAAGCCCGCACAGGTGCCCCCATAGGAAGTGGCTTCCTATGGGGGCACCCACCAAAGAAGAGGAGCCAGGAACACCAGTAGGGGACCTCAGAAGAAGAGGATCGGGGTTGCTTTGTGCAAAACCATTGCACAAAACAGGTAAGCACAACATGTTTATTATTTTAAAGGAAAATAAAGCGAACTTTAAATGTTTCTTTAACCACTTGCCTACAGGGCACTTATACCCTCTTCCTGCCCAGGCCAATTTCCAGCTTTCAGCGCTGTCACACATTGAATGACAATTGCGTGGTCATGCAACATTGTACCCATATGAAATTTTTATAATTTTTTTTTGACACAGATAGAGCTTTCTTTTGGTTGTATTTAATCACCTCTGAGATTTTTATTTTTTCTTAAACAAACCAAAAATCACTGAAAATTTTGGAAAAAAGTTTTTTCTTAGTTTTTGTTATACAATTTTGTAAATAAATGATTTTTCTCCTTCACTGATGTGCACTAATGAGGCTGCAGTGATGGGCACTGATAGGCGGCACTGATAAGGCACTTGTAGGTTGCACTGATGGGCATTGACAGGCATCACTGATGGGCACTGAAAGGCAGCACTGATACATGACACTGATACATGACACTAATATATGGCACTGATAGGCGGCACTGATAGGCAGCACTGACTGGCACTGATAGGTGGCACTGACTGGCACTATTAGGCAGCACTGACTGACACTGTTAGGTGGCACTGACTGGCACTGATAGGTGGCACTGATTGGCAGCACTGATTGGCATTGATAGATGGCACTGAATGGCACAGATGGGTGACATTGAAAGGCAGCTCAGATGGGCACTGATATGTGGCATTGATGTGCACTGATATGTGGCATTGATGTGGCACTGGCACTGATGAGCACTGACAGGTGGCACTTCTGGGGCCACACTGATTATCAGGGCACACTGATCATCAGTGTCCTGATGATCAGTGTACATGTCCCCTCCGTGGAAAGCCAATTACCGGCTCTCCTCTCCTCTCGAGCTGTCAGCGTGACAGCTCGAGAGGAGAGAAATGCCGATAACCGGCATTTCCGTGTTTACATGTGATCAGCTGTGATTGGACACAGCTGATCACATGACCGAGCCGACATCTTCGGCTCTTTCCGTGATTCGCTGTGTCCGGATCTGCGATCGCCGCGCTGTGCGCTCCCTGAGCTGTGCATGCGCAGTAAGAATGGTAGGATGTCATATGACGTCCTATCAGAACGTGAGAACCACCTTTCGCCCGTCATTGTACTATAGGGCGAGTGGAAGGTGGTTAAGTTGCCATGGAATTGCACTTGTGATCAGTTATGACACCAGCCATTTGATAGCTTGACAGTTCAGTTTAGAGTTAATATCAGCACTTTAGTAACTGTAACAGTAATCACTGAAGACATACAAACCTTGACTTTTGGAAAACAGTTGGAAAACAGTTAAAGCGTATGTAAACGTATTAAACCCTTACCTTGTAAAACAACCCATTCTGTGTGGGCACACGTAGTAATAAAACCTAACAATGGTTTTAACTATTCTATCCAAAAAAATGTGGCTGGAGTTATTTTGACCTTTACATATAGACTAACCTACATCTACTATAGAATGATCAACCTATCCAGGAATATAGTAACGGTACAGTCTTTAAAATGGATGAGTTTAATCAACCTGTTATCATTATCCATACTGGAAAACAATCATACTGAGATGCATAAAGTCAGCTTAAATGAAGGGAAATCTGCTTAATGCTCTTACCATGGGATGCAGTTAATGTTGCGTTCAAATGATGGAGACTCTAGCCTCAGTGTTACTAGAATATGGATTGAAATGTGTGATGTTTGATGCATATGGTAGTGAATAAATCATTTCACTGGAATTCAAAATGTGAGGTTCAGGAAATGTGTATGGTGTATTTTAAAGTCTGACAAGACTTTAATGTTTGAGCCATGGTGTTATATAGAAGAAAAAGAAGACACCCCCAGCATCCCTTTACATGTGATCACTTTTTACTTACTTACACTGACTGCTGCACCATCTCCCCCTGATGATGACTATTGAGCGAAACGCGTAAGTTGGAGCTAACAAGTATGACCTAGAACACTGGAACTTCCTGAAGAGTAGTGATGGGCTAAGTAAGTAAGTTTGACTCGAACATTGGATGTTCGTGTGCTCGGAAAACACACGAATGGTAAGGGAGTTTGGCGGGCTGTTCGCCCACTGTGCCCCACAATGCACTGAGCCCTGATGGTGCATTGTGATTGGCCAAAGCAATGCACAGATGAGCTTTATTTTATCTTTATTCTTTTTTTGGCGCCTCCTTTTTTCTCTCTTTATTTCAAAGCAATGTACCTGATCACAGGTCAGGTGTAATGCTTTGGCCAATCACAGTGCATAATGATGTCACAATGGGGCGGTGTCACCCCACCCCCTTGTGACATCATCACAGTGTTTAAGAACTGTCATCCTGGTGCAGCTGTGAGACGGTGGGAGCCAGCGTTGATAGCTAAGCTGTTTTTTTTTTTTTTCCTTTTTTCGGGTCTGCGGTGGCGGCGGGCATCGTGACTGACATTGGATCTACTTTGGGGGACATTTTTTAAATTTTTGTTTTTAATAAAGGACTTGTCAAAGACTGTCTACTGTCATTTGTTACACCGCCCATATGGAGGGGGGACAAATGCATTCTTTTTTAAATGTTTTAATTGCCAGGCAATGCTGGCAATTGTTTTTACATTCAGCTGACAGCAGGAAACCCCGCTGACATCTGAAACATTTAAGAATGTCTTTAGTAGCTGTACAGTATCTTACTGCATACTCAAATGTGGTAAGATACTGCTTAGTGAATTGTCCCCTCTGTTCAAAGTTTGCGGTCAAACTTTCGTTAGGTTCAAATGTTCAACCGCAAAATGAACAAGGGTGTTCAGCCCATCATTACTGAAAAGGTACTGCTAAGATCTGAATGTATTATTGAATTTTAAAATAAACATTATTGCTCTATAAGGATGATCCTTGTACTTAGTTTGAACATGCATTTGATTCCAAACCCAGCCTTTTTGCAGGGGGGAAATTGGGAAGGGGACAAGCCCAAACACTGTGAGAATCCACATTAGTCATGTTGTCCAGCACCATGATAACCTGTTGCACCCAACAATGTTGTAATGCTGCAATCCCATCACTAAATGACAGCTATCCTGCTGCTTTACATTACCACATCAGCAGTAGAGCTGTCATTTCATTATTTGGTCAGGGGCATTACCAAGGATTCCAGGACCACTTGGTTTACAAACAGCAACAGGTCAGGGATCTGTCATTTAATGGCAGTAGTTTTCTTTTTAATGTTGCCTTTAACCACTTTACCACTGTGCTATAGCCAAATGATGGCTACAGGGCTGTAGTCCAGTTGTTGCAGGGCATCATATGACGTCCTCCCAGCACGTGCCTCTGAGCAGGGCGTGCACACAGCGCTGTCTGCGATCCCTGTGTACTTTGGACACAGCTGATCATATGACATGGTAAAAGGCCAATCACAGCGGCCTTTTGCCACGTGATCAGCTGTGTCTAATCACGGTTGACCACTATGTAAATACACTTGATGGTTATCGGCAGTACTTTTGCATGCTGTCACGGTGTGAGGAAAGTGCTGCCAGTAACCGGAAACTGTCAAAGCAGACATCTGCAATGATAATCAGGGCATTGATTATCAGTGCCGATTATCAGTGCAGCGCCAAAAGTTCCCAATAGTGCCGCTCATCAGTTGCCCAACAGTGCTGCCAATCTGTGCCTGTCAGTGCTGCCAGTCAGTGCTATCTATTAGTGCCCTTCAGTGCTGCCTATCACTGTCCATCAATGCCACATCATCAGTGCCTCCTTATTAATGCCGATCAGTGCTGTCTATCAGTACAGCCTCATCAACACACATCAGTGAAGGAGAAAAATTACCTGTTTGCTAAATTTTACAATGGAAACAAAGAAACCTTTTTTTTTCAAATTTTTCACTCTTTTTTTGTTTATAGTGCAAAAAATAAAACATCCAGTGGTGATTAAATACCACCAAAAGAAAGCTCTATTTGTGTGAAGAAAATGATAAAAATTTCATATGGGTACAGTGTTGAATGATTGCGTAATTGTCATTCAAAGTGTGACAGTTCTGAAAGCTGAAAATTGGCCTGGGCAGGAAGGGGGTAAAATTGCCCGGTAGGCTAGTGGTTAAAGGAGTGCACCACATTATTGCGCAGCTTCACATGCACGTAGAACTCGGCATTAAACCCAAAACCAAACCTGTAGTATATTGCAGCTTACTAAATCTTAGTTATGGTGGAAGGGGCCATGCTTGTGGCAGTGAACGGGATAGAGTCATCCACACAGGGTGCTTTCCTGCAGGCTCCATGTTTTCCTGGCCCAGGGCTATACAGGCGCTGTGTGCATCCCCGCATCGGCACCCCATTCATATCTATCGGGACACACAGCTGTACAGACCCTGCCGCTGTGTCCTAATATATGACATGCAAGTGAGTACGGGTCCTTGAACACATGCTTGGGGGCCCGCAGCCGTACTCACCTTCATATCATATTAGGATACAGCAGCTGTGTGTCCTAATAGAAATGAATGAGACACCGCCTAGGGCAGCACAAAACCTAAATACACCACTTCCTGCTAGCTAGGTGTCTCATCACACAGCGGAAGCAAAAAGAATGTGACATCACCTCTGCTTTCAACGTGAAACATGCTGTCACTTTCACACCTGCAAATCATATATAGTGTTTCCATATTCCTGTCCATTCCTCACAGGATGCCAACAAGCTAGTGAAGAAGTGACCAGGGGCGGACTGACAACTCATGGGGCCTCCGGGCAATAGGGGATCATGGGGCCCCTGTGTCCTAACCCAAACTCAAACCACACCCAAAAAAGCCTATGAAAGGTACCAGGGGCAACTCATGGGGCCCTCTACTGACCCCGGGCCCTCGGGCAGCGCCTGAGTTCCCAAATGGTCAGTCTACCCCTGGAAATGACATTGCATGCTGTATAGGCTTTCTATGTATCCATATCAATGAAATACGTGGAGATTGCTGTGGTTTGACTCAGTTTTCTATGCTGTATTTAGATTTATGGAATAAAACCGATAACTTTCCGTCCCTGTGGATATGTTTGGACCTGCCGTAATACCTTCTAGTAGTGTGACTGACTGGCAGCTGCTGCGCCCCCTAATGGTGGGAGAGCGGCAGTGCAGGAGGCCTTACGTCTACACGGCTGCCGGGGAAGCCCGCCCCCTCCCTCCGTCCCTCCTCCCACACACCGGGCTCTCTCTCTCTCTCCCTCTCCCTGGGCTCGCTGTAGACACTCTCAGTCTGTCTGTGACACAGGCCAGTGCAGCAGCAGTAGCCGCCTCCCCCAGGCATGGCACAGGGCTCTAGCTCACTATGGCAGCAGTGCGACAAAACACCCTCGACTTCCAGCTCTGTGGCACAGGTAAGGAGGGGGGTGGGGTCACCGAGGGGTCATATGTAATCTTTCTGGAAATGAATGAGGGGGAGGGGACGTGGTGCACAGAGCAATGCAGGGGGGCTAGGGAGCCATTCTAGGGGGTGTCCCTGAAGGTGACACAGGAAGTTGGGACTTGAAAGCATGTCTATCCTTCTTCCCTTGCTGTGTGAAGGCTGCTCATTGGTGACAGAGCATGCAATGGGGGGAGGAGGGTGGTACACTAGTGCATTGGGTGTTGTGTTCTTTAATCCCAGCAAAGTGTCCCCAATGGGGTGTCCCCACAGCCAGCACAGGCCCCATGGTGACACATTCAGCAGCCTGGGCTTCAACCTTGGACCTAGACCCCTGTGCTGAGTACACACAAGGACAGGCAGTGCAGGCCTTGGCCATAGCCAGCTCTTATTGGGGATTGTTATGTTTTATTTTGTCTGCAGGGTGACCTTTGTTTGTCTTTTGTTGCCCATGCTGCTTCCTTTCCCTATAGAGCAGAGGGTGTGTGCAAGGTGCTTTGTCTGGCTGCAGTGTGCCCGGTCTGAGGATCCACCATGGAGCTCCAACTTCTGGCAGGATCCCGACCCTCTCCGGTGGACTCTGCGTTTGTTCAGGGACTGTGTATCAGACACTACTTTTATGGCTCTTGTTT